CTCCTGGTGCAGTGGGCCCTGGGTTCCTCTTGATCCTGGAGGCGTTGATGCCTCACCCTCACGTTCCACTGACCTAAATCCAGTTCAGCACTTATGGGACGTTGCGCATCCGACACCACCAAGTCCGTCCACAGACTGTCCAGGAGCTCAGTGATGATCCCGGTCTGGGAGGAGATCCCCCAGGACTCCATCCTCTGACTAACAGGAGCATCATGTCGTTGTCAGGAGAACATCCAGGCATGAGGAGGCCACACCCGCTGTGGTCAGTTTGTTACTGGGATGTTCAGTGTGGTTCGAATCCAGCCTCACTGGGTCGATGGGTTAAGTTTCCATTGATCGTCATTTTGTTTTATACAATGTTCATCAGTAAAGACTTCATGCTTGAATCATTCATCAAGATCTGATGTAACTTCATGTTTCTGAGCAGTTTATATATGAAACATTGACCTTCCAATTAGTGGACGACCTCCTGAGCCACTGGTTCGTTTAAAGTCAGTGAGCAGCATGAGTGTGTGTGTGTGTGTGTGTCTGTGTGTGTGTGTGTTACATAATGATTTTCCACAGAGGGTTTTCTCCATATAAGCTGTGAGGTTCAGGATTTGTTGGTGTCTCGGTCCTCAGGACATTCATAGTGGTCGGACTCTATCAATTAGAATTCAACACAATTGGATTAACTTATTTGACTTTGAGGACTGATAGTTTATTGATTGATGAGTATTGATTGCTATTGGCTGTGGTCGTCAGGTCACCCCCCTCCAGAAGTGGTGTGGCTCCATGACGGACAGGAAGTGGCAGAGTCGGAGGACTTCCAGCTTGTCAGGGAGGAGAACCGCTTCACTCTGCTGATCAAGGAGGTTTTCCCTGAGGATACGGGCACGTACAGCGTCCAGGCCTGGAACCAGCATGGAGACGACTCCACACAGGCCCACCTCACTGTGGAGGGTCAGTCACACCACAGATCTGCTGTTTACATTTATTTAACGTCTCAGTCACACACTTCACACAGAAAATGCATTGACAGCTAGTTTCCCTCTGATTTTATTATTGGTTTGTTGTTGTGACAGAACCTCGGAACGGTGTCCAACCATGGTTCATCACCAAACCCAAACCAGTGAGCGCCACTGTGGGTCAAAACGTCCTCCTGTCGTGTGCCATCACTGGAGACCCTTTTCCCCACTACACCTGGACCAGAGCGCACCTGAGCCGACCTCTGACCTCAGGAGATGACTACGAGCTGCTGCAGAAAGAGGACGTCATCTCGCTGCTGATCAGGTCGATCATTTAAACCCAAACAAGACGCTTTCTGGTGTTTCCAAATCTACATGGACCTAATCTCCATCTGATCCTGCGTGTCCTTCTTCTTGTTCCTCAGGAGAGTGAAGAAACATCATGCTGGAGATTATGTGATCAGCCTGAGGTGAGACACAAGCTGAGGACTCCATGAACAGAAGCATAAACAGCAGCAGTCCGTTGTTGACATGTTGAAATAATCCGGAGGTTGACGGTATAGAGGATTAAACACCACCCCTCCCCCACACAGAAATCCACCCATAATCTATTCATCAACTCTGCACAGGAAGCTGTCGTCACTTCAGCTCAGACTCACCACAGTCTTTTCACTCTTCATGCTGGTAGAGGAGTTTATTATATTTATTGTAAAGGTTCGAATTTTAGTGTCCGGAAACGTTTCTGTTACTGAGGAAGAAATGTATGATTCATTTATTTCATGTCAGAAGAAATTAATAATAAATGTCTTTATTATCTGAAGACCAGGAGATTCTAGATGTTTTTGTAAACGCCCCCAGACAATCTCCTGCTGCTTCTTCACATGAGAAACACTAACGACACAAAATGTCTTGACAATATTTTACATTTTATGTCATTAGCGATTGTCTGGGGGCGTCGGCCCTCATCACCAAAACATCTAGAATCTCCTCGTCTTTCCAGGTTGACGTCTTCTACATGTACGGCTCCTCTTCTTCATCCTGAGACATTTGTGTTCTTCAGTTTCACGTCCGTCACGTGTTAGAAACCTCAGAGACACGTCCACTCGCTCACTGAGAAGGTTCCAGATGTTTTCTCACATGAACTCACTCTGACATTTTACAGATGTTTTACTAGCTGCAGGAGAAGATCCAGAACATGTCCAGAGACACTGACTCAGACATTTGTCCTCACACACAGAACATGTGAGGAACACGTCTGAGAACGTCATGTTTCTCTGCTCTGGCCCCTGTGGACGTGTGATACTCTGACACTGAGACGTAAAATAACTTGATCAAACCGATGTTTCCAAAGTCATGAAGAAAAATATTACAACAAAAATACAAATGTGTTCCTGTCTCTCTCTCCCCACCTGTCTGTCTGTCAGGAACCCTGTTGGTGTGTGTGTGTCTGTGACCAGTCTGTGTGTCGCTGATGGAGAGACAGAAAGGACGAGAGGAGGAGAGGACAACAGGTAAGAACGGACTCGCCTGAACTTTTATCTTCTCTTTTAATGTTTTTCCATTCATCTGTCCTACATTCAGACATTCTCTCTTCTTTAATCCGTCTTCGTCCTCTGAACCAATCAGAGCCGGTTTCATGTTTACACAAAAAAAGCTGTTTGTTTCAAAGTCAGGTTTTACACTGTAAAAAAACTCCTCAGAATGAAGACGAGTCAAAGTCACTGAGGAAGGAGGAGTGTGTGTGTGT